TCCTCCGCCTTGGTTCCTTGGGCTGTGCCAGGGCTGGTAAGAGTCCCGCCTGCCTGCTGGGGTGAGAGCACACCCAGTTCCTGCGCACACGGCGTCAGAGAACTGTGCCTGGTAGGGTTCCAGGCACACACACACACACGCACACAAGCACAAATACACACACACACACACACACACACACACACCATTATTTCTGAGCCACTTGAGAGTAAGTTGTGGACATGCCCTTTTGTCCCTAAATCTTCTCCAACTCAGGCAACGGAGTGTTGCTTCAACTGTGTTATCTAATCCACAGGCCACACACCATTTCACCCGTAGTCCCAGTAAGGGCCTCTTGGGTTTTGCTGGTGCCAGATCCCTCTGCACTCGGTGGCCGTGTCTCCTTCTCCCGGAGCGGTTCCCGGGCCGCTCCTGACCTTGACATTCCTGAGGCGGGCCGGCCGGTGGCTCTGGGGAACGTCCCTCCCTCGGTTCGGGCTGGGCTCTCCATCGGGGAGGCGCACGCTGTACCGCGCGTTTCACTCCGTGTCCTGCGATCCCGGGTGGTCCAGGGTGGCGGCTGGTCCCTCCCACGTCGCGTCCACGAGCAAACTGGGGCGTAAGGAGGCCAAGCAATCAGTCTCTGGCCGCGTTCCCAGGAAAGGGCCGCGCTGGGGTTCCAGTCCAGGATTATCTGGTCTGCCTGCCCCTCAGTGGGAATGATGGCGGCCGTGAGACCCCAGGAATAACAGGTATTAGCCAACCAGGCATTGGTCGAAGCATCCTGCGTGCCCAACAGGGCGTCCTCTCTCCCTCCGCTCCTGGGAGGGAACTGCTCTGACTGGCCCTGGTTTACAGGTGAGGATCAGAGAGGCCTAGTGGCCAGCCCAGGTGCACAGCTGCTGACGGGACGAGCTGTGCTCCCGGCAGCCTGTGTCCTGGATCGGCACCTGTTTCCTGTAGGCCTGTTGGATCTCAGCATCGGGGCAGCGCGTGAGGCAGGCTCTGCTGACCCCCCAGTGTGTGTCCTTCCCCAGGGCCTTCTCTGGGGGAGCGGGCACACCCCAAGGCTGGGGCTGCCCCCAGGGTCTTCCTTGGGCGAGGAGGGGGCCCAGCCTGCCCTCTGCTCCTCAGGTGCCTTCATCCACCTCCGTGGTCTGTCGGCAGCAAGCAGCTGAGGTTTGAATGGTTTCCAGGTGAAGAATCCTGCGGGGAGGACGGCACTTCCCTAACCTGAGTTAACACTCCGTCTTTCATCGGACGGCGGCCTCAGTCTGTTCTGCCGAGCAGCCCAGGCCCCTGCCTGTGGGGCCTCTGGTCTTGGCTGTTCAGTGTCCACTGGCCCCCCTGCCGAGGTGGCATGAGGGTGCCATTCAAGGCCACCGCCCCGAGGATGAGGCAGCCTTGCCCACCGCCACGCTGGTGATTGACAATTCAGTCCCGCATGTCACCTTCTCCTGGGAGAAAAGGAGCTGTCAGCACCCTGCCTTTCGGGGCGTGGGGAGGGATAGAACAAGGAAGACCCTGCAGAGCGAGAAGGATCCCTGAACACAATGGCCAAGGGGCCTGGGTCTGGGCCCGCCTCCGCCTCTCTCCTCCTGGGTTTTGGGGGGGGGGCGGGGGTCTAGTTAGGTCTACCTGTCAGCATCCCGAGAAAGCCCGGGGTCCCCTGGTTCAGGTGCAAGAACAGGGTTTGTCTGTCGGCCACAGAGCAGGGGTCTGCCTATCCCAGGGCAGCGTGGCAGGCTGGGGGGGTGGGGGGGAGGGCTGGGAGCAGCAGCCTCGGGCCTTCAGGCTCAGGCCTGGACAGGCTGCGTATCGTCTCCCCTCTGCTCCCTCTGCCGCTGGGCTGTCTGGATCACAAGGAAGAGGGGCCCGATTCGTCCTGCCCCTGCGCTGGGCCCGTCTCTTCCTCCCCTGGCCCGTCCCTATGGGTGGGGAGCCACCCGGCAGGCAGCGTGCCAGGCGCGGGGCATCGCCGTGGGGCGGCGACCTTCCCGCTCTGACCGCCCTGGCCGCTCGGGCCCGCCTCCCGCGCGCTGGCAGCGAGCCTCGGGCTGGGCCTGCTCCCGGGAGAAACTTAGAAATGTCCGTTCCCTAATTACCACGGAACCCTGCTCCGTGGTTCCAAACATTAATTAAACACATTAATCGACTTGGCTGCCTTGGAAGGAGGTTTTTTTTTTGTATCCCCCCCCCCCCCAGAAGGAGCTGACTTTCTGAGTTGTGGCTGCCCCCCTTACAAGGAGGTGGGGTTGAGCTTGCAAACCAGTGATCTGGCCACACATTGGGGGCGGGGGGGAGGGAGGGGAGAGTGTCAGGCAGCTCCTCGGCCTCTCTGAGCTTTCCTTTCCCGTCCGAGACATGGGCACGACCTCCTTACCTCCTGGGTCATCGTGGGTGCTCCGCGAGGTCCCGGAGGACAGTCCTCAGCAACGTGTCCTGTCCGGGCCGCTTGTCCGTGGCCCTGCCCTTGGGATTTGCCACGTGCCTCTCGCACCTTCAGTCTCTGGCGCAGGTCCCGCCTGCATGGCGTCGTGCGGCCGGCCTGGGAGCTGGCAGGGGCTGCCGTCGGCTCCATCCTGCAGATGAGTGAACCGAGAAGGAGGGTCCCTCCAGGCCTTCGGCTCCGTTCTCATTGGCTTCTCCTGTCCCTGCCCCTGCCCCTGTGTCCTGCGTCCTGAGCCACGGCGCTGACCCGGGCCTCGGTGTGTGCCGATCTCGGACGTTCCTAAGCGTTGTCACGTGCCAGGCCCCGGGCTCAGCGGAGCAGAGCTTCTGCTTTGGGAATCGACCTTTCCCATGAGGAACGGAGGCTCAGGGAGCCGCTTGCTCGAGCTCCTAGAATAAGGTGACCAGATCGTCCAGGTGTTGGCGGGACAGTCCTGATTTCTAACAATTTTTCCCGCGTCCCGCGGCATTTTAAAAAAAGTCCCGATGTTTGGAAAGAATCTTTCCAATGTTTCCAATCTTTCCAAACATCGGGACTTTTTAAAAAAAAAAAATGCTGCGGGACGTGGGAAAAATTGTTAGAAATCAGGACTGTCCCGCCAACACCTGGACGTTCTGGTCACCTTATCCTAAAAGGACGTTTGTGGTGGAACTGGGATGCCAACCGGGGCAGCCTGACCAGGAGCCCACAGTCAGGGGCTCCGCTTTGGGGTGATGAAGGCAGTGCATTTGACCCTAAGGCACATGTGTCAAACACAAGGCCCGCGGGCCAAATCCGTCCCGCCAGGCCTTGCAATGTGGCCCGCACCGCGCTGTCATCATTGCACTCCGCTGCGTTTCCATCACAATGACAGTTTATGACTGTTCAGTAAACCATTCGGCCCGCGATTTAGGCTGGATTTTAGATTTTGGCCCCTTCTCTGATTGAGTTCGACACCCCTACCCTAAGGAAAAGGCGCCTTTTTTTGGGGGGGGGGGCATGAGGCCTGGGAGCGAGGGAGGCTGCCCACGTGGGAGGTGAGTGTGCGAGGAGGGCACCTTCCTGAGCTTGCTGTCAGCCGGGGGGCCTTCTGCGAGGGAGGGGGTGCCCCGTCCGTCTCCCGCTGGGAACCCGAACTCTGGACAGCGATAGGTCCCACCAGCCCTTAACGGGAGGGGCTGCTGTAGGTACCCTGTGCCACTGACAATGCCACTGACAATGGGAGGGAGAGGCCCCACAGAAGCACAGGACGGCGCCGTTTTCCTGCAGGAGAGGGGACCGATGGGGGGGAGTTCGGGCCACCGGGGCCTCTGCCCCTGGGCAAGGGCACTTCTGTTTCCAGAACCGAGGGCAGATCCCCCTCCGGCAGTGTCAGTCTTCTTTACTCGGAGCCCGTGCTCACGGGACTCCCATCTGCTCGGTGATTTGGCTTCCAAGATGCTGTGGAGCTGGGGATGGGGCCGGGGGTGGGGGGCAGGCTGGAGGTCTGGCAGGATCCCTCCGTGGTGATGTAACTCTGTGGTTTCCTGGGGGTGCCCCACCACCCCTTGAAGAAGAGAAGTCCGTGTCAGACTCACCCGCGGAGCGCCTGGTCCTGCTCTCGGGTGTCTTAGGGGGTCCTCGCAGTGCTGATAAGATTAGGGGTGGCCACCTCGCCCCCTCTGGCCCCCTCCCGCAGCTGCCTCCCTGATCGGTTGGGATAAGAGGCCCGGGGGACGCCTCGCAGTGGTTTGCTCCCTGAGTAATCCGCCATGTGCACGGATTGCGTGTTAGCCGATCGCAGTGTGGGGCCCAGATAAAAGTGACAGCCAGGCTAATCGGAGACAGCTTCCCCGGCTCCCACAGGCCCCGCCTCCTGGGGAATGGCGTGGGCACCTGGGACAGGCCGGCCTCCGAATGAAGGGATGCGATGTGTGTCATCCCTGACCCCCCACCCAGCCAGAATTCCTGGAATCGGGTGAACTCAAGCTTTAGGGGGGGAGGGGCACAGGATGGATGGGGGAGGCCAGGAGGCAGGAGACCCCGCCATCGGTGCTGGCCTCACCTCTCAGGCGCTCTCTATCAAAACCCCATCTCCTGGGACTCAATGGCTTCTTGTACTTAACTATATCACGGTACTTGACACGGCACAGTTGCTCAATAAATATCAGCTCTCCCACTGCTTCTCATTTAGCTCATAGTAAACAGGCACTTCTTACTTTGTTCTTATTTGTGTGTTTTTTTGGGGAGAGGATATTTTACATTATTTCTAGAGTAGAAGGGAAGGAGAGGGAGAGGGAGAGGGAGAGGGAGAGGGAGAGGGAGAGGGAGAGGGAGAGGGAGAGGGAGAGGGAGAGGGAGAGAGAGAGAGAGAGAGAGAGAGAGAGAGAGAGAGAGAGAGAGATACATTGATTGGTTGCCTCCTGAATGCCACCGAGGTACATGCTCGTGACCGGAATTGAACCCCGGGATCCTTCAGGCCACAGGCCAACACTCTATCCACTGAGCCGAACCGGCCAGGGCGGGTACTTGTGATTGTTTACGTGAATGAGGTTATCTCCTGTGGACACGGGTGCCGATCATCCTCTGTCCTCTCCGTGTCCGTCTGCAGAATCCTGGGATTTAGGAGCCTTTCGCCTGGACACACGCCTGTCTGCTCAGCACTCCGGAGGGCCCCGAGGGCCGGCCTTCCCTGACGCCTGGAGCTCGGAGGAGGGAGGTAAGGGACGGGCCGGAAGCGGCTTTCGGAATTGGTGATGTCTCACAACTCAGCGTGGGCTGTGGGTCTGCGCTTCTTCATCTGGGCCGCTCTGCAGGGCTCGGGCCGCCTGCTTCAGTCACCTCATCCCGACACAGGGGCCTGGCTCTGTGATCGCCAGTATCCTGTGCCTCGGGAGCTCTCTCTCCTTCGGCCCCTAGCTGCGGAAGGAGCCCCCATTTCCGAAGTGGCGCCCGCTCCTTCCTTCCTCGGGGGGAGGAGGATGCTCTGGCGGTCCGGCTGAGACACGCGGGGGCCGCACCTGGGAGAGGCTGGGAAGGCGCTGGGTTAGTAACCAGGTCAGACACCTTTTGGGGGGCACCTGGATGATGGATTCCTCCTGCCCCACCTCCTTGAAGTGCCCGCTCCAGCCACGCCGGGTCGGGGGCTGCCCGCCGTGAAGGCTGGCAGTGAACGCGGAGGCTTCAGGCAGAGCCAGTCCCTCCGGGTCTTGCTCCTGGCCTCCTCTTGGGCAAATCACTCAGCCTTCCCAAGCCACACCGCCGGGCACTCTTTGCACCCCCTGATTTCCCGCTTCTGCCGTCAGACCCGGCTGCAGTGCGTGCCCCGCAGGACCTCCTGTGTGCGGGCTGTGGGCCTGGTTTGGCCCCCGAGCTCTCAGCAGGTCCCAGAGTTTGTTTCTGGAGCCCAGGCTCTGGACAGTGGGCTTTGGGACAAGCGTGGTCGCAGGCCTGCGGCAGCCTTTTCTGGGGCCACATTCTCTTCTCTGCAGCACCCGAGGGCTGGACAAGCTGCTCCCGCTGCAGGGGGAGGGCGGGTGGGACTCCGGTGCCTGGGGCAGAGGATCCAGAAGCTGGAAGAATTGTCTCTATGGTTGCACCCATGATCGGGGGGGGGGGGGGGGGGCTGCCTTCTGTGGATGGAGATGAGGCATGGCAGGTCTGTCTGGGGGTGACGGGAGAGGAATTTCCCCAGAATTCGGCTGCTGGGAGCAGGCAGACCAGGGGCAGGTGCTGGATTCCAGGTGCACAGTCCTGAGCACGGCCGGGGCAGAGCTGGTCGGCCATGGGGGCTCTGAACCAGGACCAAGTCCTTGTCCGAAGGGCCCCGCACTCCCGCCTGCACCCCTGCCTGGAAATCAGCTCCCCTGGCTCCATGCCAGTGTGAGGGCACCCATACCTTCCCAGTGCGTGAGCCTGGGCCCTCTGACTCTTCCTGCCATGGAACAGAGGTGCTAGTAACCTGGATGCCACCTTAGCCCCGCCTCCTTCCCCTTCTACCCCCCTCTCTCTGCCACTCCACTTCCCCCGGACCCTGGGCAAGCCCTCTACTGCTTTCCATGCCCCCTTTCCCAGCCTCCACTCTGCCACCTGCTTACCTGTCAGCTCCTGGCCTGCTCAGGGTCGCTCTCTCACCCAGGCCCCTCCTTGGACCCGCACACCGGCTGGGCTCCTTCCCTTTGACCCCGTCACCTTGCTGTTGACCCTGACTCCGAAGACCTCTCCTGGCTCCTGTCTGATCCTTGCAAGCTGCCACCCCCTCGGGCCTTGGTCAGAGGGCACTGGGCGGGCGGCCCCTGTCCACGGGGGACGGGAGCCAGCCTGGCCTCCAGCCCAGGCACCTGTGGACCATCCTGCCTGCAGAGAAGGGGCGGCCCCCTCAGAACCCTGCCTGGAAAGAAAGGGGCGTGTCTTTTCAAGACGCCGCTGGTATTGGCCCACGCGATCGCCGCTTCTTGTGGTTTTGTATTGAGGTTTTTGGCTCGCTGCATCTGACCGGGAGTTTATTTTTAGCAGCGAAGGCAGTTCAATTAATGTCTGCCCTGCAGAGCGAAGGCAGAGGAGGGATACGCACGTGCAGGGGACACGGTGTCTAGCTTTGCTGCTGCTGATGGAACCCCGCCGGCAGGCACAGAGCTGCCCCGGTGAGTGGTGGCTGCCATGGGCGGACGCGGAGGCCCAGGGCGGCGGCCCGGCCGCCTCCGAAAGCGAAAACATCTCTGCGTTTCCTCCTGGCGGCAGCTGGCCGCACGGTGAACGGCCGCCGCTCATCAGGGCTGATCCCTCTTATGATCAGCATTGGAGCAAAGGCTGGACGTTGGGACCTCCAGCTCTTGTCCACCCCACCTCCAGCCCCCAACCCCGAGCGGCTTTCATTCCGTCTTCAGAAGCAGCATCGGACTTCTCCCTGGATCGGAAGTCTAGTCCTGAGGCCTAGTTTCTGGGTCTGGACCTGGCTCCTGCCCCAGCTCTTGGCTGTAGGACAGGCACCCAGGATGTGCCCCGGGGGAGGCTCCCCGGGAGGGACTGGACGTCAGGACCCCGGGTTTGGTTCCGTAAGGACGTCAGGGGCTCCTCTGTCTGCTCGGGGCAACCAGCAAGCACTGCTGGCTGCTGGGACTAGATGGTTTATCCCGTCCTTTCTCGCCCTCTCTCCTCTCTCCTTCCTTTGTTTCCATGACTGTTTGCGGGGAGCCTGCAGCGTGCCAGCACCCGGGGTGCCTGGCATCCAGCGGAGAAAAGCTGCCGTTCACGCTTGGAAGGAACCCCGTGTGTGTGTGTGGGGGGGCTCCCTGTGGTTTTGCGCTGCTTGTGTCTCCTGCCGATCCCTCTGTTGAAAACGGCACCCCGGGGTGACGGCAGCAGGAGGCGGGCCTTGGGGGGTGAGCAGGTCCAAGTCAGGAGGGCGGAGCCCCAGGGTGGGCTGGATGCCCTGCTACGAGGAGGCACCAGAGAGCAGCTTCTCTCATGTCCTCATGGTGAGGGCTCAGCCCAGGGCGGCTTTCTGCACACGGGGCTGGGGCTGCCCGCACCTTCGCGGAGGGCCTCCGGCCTCCAGAACCGGGGCCTCTGATTCCTTCACACAGCGGCCTGAGCACGACCCCAGACTGTGCCGATGGATGGATTGGAGCCTCCGGGGGGCGTTAAAGGGACCTCCCTGCTGGCTGTGATGGAGCTCAGGTTCCAACAGGCATCCTCTGCCTCCAGGCACCCAGACCCGCACCCCAGCCCACCCTTATCACAGGCGGATCTGGACTGTCCTTGCTGCTCCTCACCCCTCCCTCCTTCCTCCTTCTCTCCCTCCCCTTTTCCTTCCCTCCCTCCATTCCCTCTCCTCTCCTCTCCTCTCCTGTCCTGTCCTCTCCTCTCCTCTCCTCTCTCCTCCCCTCCGCTCCCCTCCCCTCCGCTCCCCTCCTTTTTTCTCTGCCATCTCCCTTTCCTCCTCTCCCAGCTTTTTTTTTTTTTTTAGAAAATGAGGTCAGTGTTTGGCCTCAAAGACTTCTAAGGGCATGTTTCTGCTGTTGCAGAACATGGGTGCCCTAGCTTCATGCCCGTGAGCAGTCAAATGGGGGACCTTTAAACATATTGGGTTAAGGAAAAGTTTCATAAAAATAGGAAAAAGATAAAGAAAACCCAACGTAAGTGCCGTCTTCCTGAGCTTGCCTCCTCCCTGAGTATCAGCTCTGCCCCTGCAGGAAGGGAGGGGATGAGAAAGTGACTGGCCGTTGGGGGCGTTGGGGTGGGGGTGGGAGTGGGGGCTGCACGGGGCACCTGGAGGAGCCCCGAGCTCAGGTCTCCGCTTTTGCCACTGTGCATGCCCAGTTCAAACAGCACAGTGGCCAGCTCTGCACTGGGAGGCAGGCTCTTGGCCTCGGATCCCTCCTTTGCAGAGCAGGCTGATCTGAGAGCCAAATGACATGATTGTCTGTGAATCCTCCAGGACGCACACCTAAGAGGCTCCACCAATGGGCGCTGAGCTGACACATGCAGCAGCCGTTTGCTCCGGGTCTTTGAACCTGATCCCCCCCCCCTCCCCTTCACCCCCCAGCTATAATTGAAAGCAGGGGACTGGATGGCCGCCACGGGTCCCTCCCAGCTTACACATTTCCCATGTGTGTTACTTTGCCAACTTCTTTTTCAGGCCGCTACAATATTTGAGTTTTTTTTTTTTTTTTTTTTTGGGGGGGGGGGACTGTGAAAGATAGTCACCAGGAGGAACAGAAATCGGAGGAAGTATTCCAGATGCCATTGCTATTTACCTCTATCCCTACACTTCCACCCTGCGACACCCATCCTTCACACACCGTTTACACACAAGCTTTACTTTTACAACAGTTTTAGATTTTACTGAAAAAGGGTGGACCTAGTTTAGAATGGCCCCTTATGCCCACATCTAGTTTTCCCTACTACCACTGTCTTAGATCCGTGCAGCCTATTCGTTATAAGGAATGGCCAATATTGAAGCATTGTTATTAACCCCAGTTTATACTTAAAAAAAAAAAAAAAGGTTTCCCTAGTTTTTATCTGATGCCTTTTTCTGTCCCAGGATCCCATCTAGTCCTCAGGTTCCTCTTGGCTGGACCAGTTTCTCGGATGCTCCTTGTTGTTGACGGTCAGGACGGCCGGTGCTCTGTAGGATGCTTCCTATGAGCGTTTGTGTGATGTCTTCCTCGTGACCCTGGGATGGTGGGTTTGGAAGGAAGAGCTCACAGGTGAAGTTCTGGTTTCATCCCCTTGTGTCAAGGCTCTTTCCTGTCAACACAACGGACCACGATTAATGTTAACCTTGACTCCCTGGCAGTGGTACTAACCATAAAGGTACTCCCCCCCCACTTCCTTATGCTTGGAAGGATATCACCATATACCGCCCACACTTAGGGCCGGGACTTATGCTCCCCTTGACTGAATAATATACACACACTATTTGGAATTCTTATTCCTGTGAGATTTCTCTCCTCTCGCTAATTTATTTATTTATTTATATCAGTATTTAATTGCTGAGTATTTATTATATAATCCACATATGATAATCTAATATCACTTATTTTATTGCTTATGTTTTTCCGGCTTTGGCCATTGAGAGCAATTTTGGTTGGCTCCTGTGTCCTTTTGATATACGTGTGTGTGTGTGTGTGTGTGTGTGTGTGTGTGTGTTTCTTTTTGAGCACTTTCTTACTTCCTGGCGCTCTAAGATGCTCCAGGCTCATCTTGTGTGTTACT